CTTAATGACATTGTGATAGATAATCTGATGTGCCGAATTATTGAATAGCGGTCCTTCTCTTGGACCACAAGCAACTACCGTTTCTCGCGCATGTTTCGAGATCACCAAAACTATTTCCTCAAATAAGTATGGCTGTTGATATGAGAGAAATGACAACATGCATAATTAAGAAAAATAAATGCGTAATAAAAGCAGCAATTCACTAAAATTTCAGGTTTTTTTTTGTATTATACCAGTCTCGTAACTCCACCATCCTCGTTCAAGTATTCTATCTGCCACGTTTCTTTTTGACTCAGAGCTGCCGTATTGTCTGCTCCTTGTTTGAAGAGAGCAATTAAACATTGTATCCTGTAATATGCAAAAAGTTAAATTGATATATAGATATATGGGTATTGAAAAATTTAATTGAATGACTAATTGTATTTTTGAGAGTGTACCTTAAATCCAATATAAACGAACCGAAAATATCGAGAGCTTCGCTAGGCAAATCCAGATGTATCAAAGAAGCATACATTTGTCTAACACAACGTAAGATATGTAAAAGCCACCTTGCCTCTACATCGTGACTGCACATACTCTTCATGGCCCCCATAGCATGTTCCATATTCGATAAAACTAAATTCTATCATGGACAAATATACATATATAAACACAATCTAATTTTTATAAAAATATATGTAATCTTAAATAAAGTGATATTTACGAGATAGAAATCGAAATGAAACAATGTTCATGTGCGTTTGTTTTTATTTTATTAACACAATAAAAAGACATGGGTTTAAGATCCGATTGCATCAATGTCACTTTGACTTTAAGCAGGGCTTGAAACTTTCTCTCGACTTTCGAGAGAGAAAGTGAGAGTTTTAATAAGCCTCAAAGTAATGTTTGTGCAATCGGGTCTAAGACACGTAAATATACACCTTAAAATGACTTTGCTTTTCCACGTCTACTGTTACATGTAGCTGTCCTGTGAAATAACTCTGTCCCAATCTCCATAGGTCTGGCAACTGTTCGACCACAATGTCGCAAATTGCTTCGACGCATAAGATTTGCGGTGGAGAGCTATCTCCGTTATTCTTCTGTGAACGTAAATGCTTGATATTTATCGATATGGACTTTGATATTTTGTTTGCATCTTCACAATTAATTTTAACTCTGTCCGAATGCTCATATATAGTATTGGCAACGCTTTTCTCTAAATAATTTGCATGTGAAACTGGAATACAAAATTTGAAATTATCTTCTCTAAAGTAATTAAACGTCACATAATCGTAATAAGTGTACATAAAAGCAGCTCGCTTAAACTTGTTTCATTTTGAACATGGAAGTGACAATAAATGAACACACCTATCGCGTCCCATGCTGGATCACCTTCGGCATCAAGATTGACGAGGTTTCTAATAATCTTCTTGCGCTCCTCTAAACTGAATGGCATCTCTTGTAATTTTTTCCGTAACAATACTTGAAAATTATTGATTCTACTGTCAATTTCCTCCAATACCTTCTTAAACACATCTACCTCTGTATTTTTAAATAGATTCTTAACTCTAGCATAATCATTAATTACAAGATCATAGTTGCCACGCTTGATATTCCTCTCGATGTTTATTGGCATACAAAAGAGAAATTTGTAACGTTGCATAACGGCCAATGCGTTACGAGTTGCATCGGCTCTGTCCCTCCTCGCTAATACATCGTCGAACAATTTGTTAGCCTCAGACATAGATTGTCTGATGGCAGTTTCCAATTTCTCTGTAGGATCACTACCATAACTCTTCATGTCTGCTTCAAATTGATCCTTTAACGACATTATTGTGTCAAACTGTTCCATTACTGCTCCTACATTGGCCTGTTTTATAATTGATGAGAATGAATTTTAACTTTAATAGAATAACATGATTCTACACATCAAAAATATTCTTAAATCATAACTAATGTTATTAATCCTCTTATACCTTTAAAAATGATAATTGTCCTTCTTTTTGAGAATTGACTTTTCTTCGAAGATAAGCTAAACCAGCCTTTAAATCTTCCAAAGTCGTAGCATGATGATGTTGCAGTAAAAACCATCCAGGATGAAATTTTTCGCTTGTAAGATCTCCACTTCCATCTCCAAAAAGTTCAATTAGCTCATCCTCAGGAAACTTTTTGCTTCAAAACGAGATATAATAAATTACTGTAAAATATTACACATTATTGACAGTTTATCACAGTCGGAATTTAAAGAGATTTACTCGTTGCCTTCTACACTAAGTCCCAAGGGATCTTCCTGTTGATAGTTTGTAGGCGACAAAGCCCTTCTACCCCAGCCTAAATTCTGCATAGGTGCTTCCTCCACCCATACTGCTGACTCTTTCATTGGACCTATAGTCTCGTGGTAGCCGCGAAACTGTACCGTTGAGGTCCCTTGTCCTCCACTTTGTGTTGTCACTATTATATCTCCACGGCCCTTGCAAGGACCTGATCTTGCTATAATTTTGTTGGACGACTTCCATTCGGCCGAAAGCAGACAGTTGCATCCGCATATTGTCAATCCTGTGAGGCAATAGATGTAAAAAATTAATAACATCGCGCACATATTCTATTACAATAGTCTATATATGTAAATAACTCTTTTCCATGTTATTTTGTGATTATTTTAGAACTCTCAGCGAGTGACACTAACCTATAAGATCCTGAGCTTTATTTCCTAAAAATTCACCACGCATAGTCACCCGAGTACCAGGTGGGCCTTCCTTAGGTGATATTCCAGTGACTACGGGTGGAGGTCCCATTCCATCAGCGATAATGTCGAAATTACAAAACACTTGACTTGATGTCTGCCTAAAATGATGTACGACGCGTACTTACATACAGACAGAACGATAACCGTTCACGCACTAATAACAATTAATAAAACCGAGCCGAGGGTCCGGGCCGTCTTCAGACTTTCAGACTTTCAGACTTCCAGAGTTCAGAGTGCACAGAGAGAAACCCTCCCCCCCGACAGTTTTTCACTGGCAGAACGGTAAGTGATGTGATGCACACTCAGTGCATATCAACGCTGTTGTACACTAACCTAATCTGAACGTATAAAAGTGAAATGCTTCAATTAATAAATTACCCAATGTACTTATATTTTGTCAAATAGCACAATAAATGAATCGAGGATTTCGCGGTTTAATTCGTTTCTATATTTTTATGAAACGTACATCTTTTTACGTCAATTTGTATACAACGGATTTAAAGTTTAAAGTGCACTGAGTGTGCAGGGCGCATCAGATCTGACCGATCTGGAAAACGCTTCTTCTTCTTCTTCTTCTTCTGTTTTTTGGCCACCGCAGCCTAGACAGGCTGGTACTGGACCATTGAGTTCTGCGTAAATTGGGGTAATCGTAAGTGGGAGTGCTATGCACCGGCCACCTTGAACCGAGCGAGTAATGGATGATGCAATAAAAATGGTGAGGCGCCCCTTCAAACACTGGACGCCTGCGGCTACGGCGCTTCCACGCCGCACAGCCGCGCGCCAAGACGGATAAAGGGACTATCGAAATTGAAATACTATGGCACACTGCACAGTCCAAGCCGGCAACGCTTTTCAAAAATATAGTCCAGGTGACGCAACACCCGAGACGAGAGGGAACACGTCCGATCCGCTCGCGTGGTCTACAAGAACTAGTGGAAAACGCTATAAGATAAGAGTGGACATCCTGGTCCCCTTTTAACTTTTTTGTGTACCAAACCTCGTTTAGGCTTCTAGATCTTTGATATACTGCACTGATTAATCAAACTCGGATGATAACATTAACAACAGTTTTGACCCAGGTATATATCGTATGAAACATGTCGGAATGAATTCCAATCGGAATTATTCCCTTTTTCCTAGAGAACGTACACGGTAGAAATCTAGGAAATAATTTAATAATTCCGATGATTGGAATCTCCATACCGATTTGTTCCATGATGGGTATAGTATATCCTGGAATCTTTCATTAAAAGAAACAAAATCGTATCGTGAAAAGAGAAAGAAATTAAGAAGCATTTATCGAGCGTGCGCATATTTCTAATTATATATATTATATCGCGCAGTAACGATGAATTTTGTGATCATTTTAGATGCGTCTTTGAAATTAAACAAGTGCGAACCAGGGTGGACATTGAAAATTAGATTAATATACTTATAAAATTTAATGAAGCGCCAATAAATAAATTAATTTTACAAGGTGAAGTTATTGTGATATGTTTTAATCAAAAGAAAAGTTGTGTTTCACGTATCACTAGGTATCAATCACGTATAAAGATGCAATTAATAAGATATTTACAATAATTATTTAAGTTACTATAAATAGAAAATACAATATTATAAAATAGAAAGCGGAGAAATTTTTTTCGTGTTGAATATATGTGCGTGTACGTTTGTTTATTATTTATTTATTTATAATAGAACGTTAAGTAATATTGTTCCAAATTTGTTTGCGTTTTATAATTATTAATTTGTCATGTAGAATTTTAACTTGAATACAAAACATACACATTATATGTATGTATAATATATGCGCGAATCAATGAAAAAATGAATAAACTAATGAAAATTATAAATTGACCTGGAGAAAAAGCAAGATTTTTATTTAAAATGTTCTGGAATTATCTTTAAATTGATTAGCCCGACATCGCTGGACACCCTGGGACTATATAGAGATCGTATAATATCGTGCGATTATATAATATCTCTGCCATTTGTTCAATTTGCTAGTCTATAGGTATGTACTATAAGTTGAATAAATTTGAATCTCGGTATATCGAACGACGCTGATAAAGATCGATAGAGTGCTGCGCGCGTTTTATCATTTTTGTTCAAATCATCCCTCGTGACCCTCGTGAGAATCGAAAGCTCAAGGAGCTACGTAAGCACACCCCTGTAGGAATGAAGCTATAAGGAGTGATCGCCTGATCGCGATTCGCGATGAGTGTGCGCGCGACAAGCACGCAAGCACGTCGCTCGAGTCTCGAGCGACGAGCGACAAGCACGCTGCACGCAGCGCAGCACGAGTAGAAGGCGAGTGTGTGGTACGTCCGTACGTCAGGTACGTGCCATACGTGCCGCTGCGTGCTGCTGCGTGCCGCTGCGTGCCGCGGAGAGGAGAAGCCAGAGCGTCTCCTTATTATTAGAGGAGCACACAGCTGGCACGGGTCAAGATGTAAGCTGTCAAGGCGCGGGGATGTTTGAGACGAGAGAAGAGCGGGTCCAGGACTGAGAGAGAGAGAGCTCAGAGAATCAGACCTGGCACACACTGGCATACACTGGCATACACTGGCATACACGACAATATTACACGAGGGTTACGCGAGGGGAGAATACAGAAATGGAGTAGCTGCAGAAAAAGGGGAAAAGGAGATCGATCGGTTGGCCAATAGCTGTGGCAATGGAGGACATCAGACTAGGGTAAGAGAGTATATATACTGTATTATTTCCGGTCTTGTCGAGATTCGTGCGACCGTCCGCGCCGATCGGGCACTACGTACACGCCATGTACGTATATCTATATGCGTGCGACTGCGAGGACAAGTGCGAGCCACGAGCGCGAGCGCACTCTCGCTGAGGTCGTGATCGTGGACTGTGGAGACTGGAGAGTTGAAGAGGAAAGTAGGACGTCAGGGGTGGTTGCTCGTGTGTCGGAGAGGGTGAGGGTGAGGGTGGTCTCGAGCGCGAATCGCGAGGGTGTCCCGTTTTGTCCGTTTTGTCCGTTTTGTCGACCTTGCCGCCGCGAACGGAAACGCGAACGGAGAGCGAGCTTCTCTAGGCGAGAGCGACTCTGCGTCCTGCGATGGCACAACGAGGGCTCGACCTCGACGACGGCACGGCACACGCGTCGACGAGTGCAGCGAGAAATCGGCCAAGAGGACGTGAAAACGAACGGTGAAGGTCTGTCGCGGGTGCTGGTGCTGGCGTTGGCGCTTAATACGATAAGTTGCCAGTGGTGACAATGAGACGGCATCTACACGCGTACTTCGATCAGAGCTTTTTCCAGTTAAGTGACAGTGACATAATATTCGTGTGAGAAATCAAAGTGAATTTTGATGATCAAGTCGATTCGCTGTTTATCGCCACGCGAGCAACGATTTTACATGTCTCGTGTTTTCTACACGTTCTCTCTCTCTCTCTCTCTCTCTCCATCCATCCGTCCATCTTGCTCGCATGTATCACTGTCGTGAATAAGCGCAAACATCATTTTCACTCTTATCCGCGGCACCTGACGTTACCAAAATTAGACTCAATGCGTAAAAGTGAGATTTCGATCGTTTTCTCCAAATGGAAAGCTCTTGCGATTGTGACCGAGTCTTGATCAAGGCTCGCGAAATACGATTTTTCGCGAAGAAAATATTTGTAATTTGTGATTGAGATTTACATAATATACTATTTAAAATCTTGCGTAATTCTTTTCCATTTTCTTTCAATTTTGTATGATTTTTATAAATTAAGGATAAATTACATCGAGCTCGGAGCGATAAAGATACCTGCATTTTTATCGATCTTTTTTCTAAAAGTTGAAATAGTTCTGTTTGAATATGATATGAAAATTAATATATGAAAGAGCAGTGTGAGAGCACACGGGAAATAGAATTATTAATTTAGCATTAAACATTATGGATGGCGCATAGTCGATGTGACCAATTGACGATTCTATAGCTCGCTGCAGCTCGCGTATTTCTCTTCGTTCGGTTAGAGAGATGTCGCGAAGCGCGTTCCAACATCGAACCGCCTTGTATAATCGATCATCAACGCGACGTAAGAGAGTGATCGCGTGTAATGTAAGTAATGTAATGTATAAGGAGCACGCGCGCGCGCGATGTTGACACCCTTGTCAATTACGAATTGACAATTTTGACAGTACTTGCGTGATGCGCCTAGTCTTTATTGCTACCTCGCCAAGAGATGAATCTCATGGCGATCGCCGCCAGAGTTTCTCCGTTATGGACATACAAAAGAGAGATTATCTTAAATTTCTATCTCTCGCTGTACAAAGTTGTTGGCAAACAAAGTTGTCGAAATTATATTTGATTTCTGCATTTACTATGCGGTTATATATGCCATGTTATTTTTTTTTTTTACGACCAAGTTATATTCGCTGAAGCGAATTATACCAATTAATACGCACCGTGAAAATCGACCTTGGAATATAATTTTCCCACGTGTATACTTATATACTTACCTTTATCTTTTTACATCGCGATAAATCTTGTCTCTGTTTAAATGATGCAACTAAAGTAATTATGGATCAACAATTAATCGACAACAAATGCTTTATACAGCTATAATTACAGGATTATTGTTCTTGGAAATTATTATTTCTCTATATACTACATAGTAAATTTTATAGCATTTTATTTCACTTCTCTGTGAAATAAAAGTCATAAACACGTCATAAAGACAATTGACTATTGACTACATATTACATAAATATCTTGGAAAGTGGTAATTATTGTACATATACGTTTAATTTGGATGTATGTACTGTAATCTGCAATCTTTGTGACTTCAGACTTGTGTATAAAGATACACCTTTCTCTCCTCGAGAGGAATAAGATAAGGAAAATCTTAACGCGTAGGCTCGCATTTGCGCTTCGAAGGCGATGCGCTATAAATAGAAGAGCCTTGTTAGCGACTGCACAACGTAGCGTAGGTACGCGACCTGTACCCGCGCTATACCAGATGCATCAGGTACAACAGCTACGTCACAATCACATTATAAGACATTAGGTCTGTTGTTTTTAGCTAAAACCGTTCTCGCACGGTTCATCTTTAATGTTTGTTAACAACAACGGGCTCCTTGATAACTCAATAATGCAAACGATAAGAATTAACATAAAGGGGTTATATATATGTATAAGTAGTCGGCGCGGAAGACAGAGTGCGCAAAGATTTTCTAGTAATTATCAAACTATGATATTCTGATTTTATTGAACATTTATTGCAGGTAAAACGAAAAAAAAAAAAAGGAAAACATATAAACGCACGTTTCGGCTCAAGATTGAGAGAGAGTTCATCTTTCTTCCTTTTCTCTCCACGCTGGAAGCGTGCAACAAGTTCAGTTAAAAAGACCAGGCCTATTATTCGATCCGTGAATATACACACCAATTGTTCTGGATTCATCGCGGATTCGCAATCATTCAACCGCAATTCATTCTATCATTTAATCTTACGCTTGATTTTAACTGTGCAAAATTTCGACAGCTACAGCAAATTAAATTATTTGTTGTTTTGTTTCTAATTTATTATTGTTTAAATTATTTGCTTATTACTTATTATATCACATACATAGGTATCTGTATCGGGCAAACGATTCAACTACTATCATTCGTATCATCATTTTTCTTTTCTACGCGTATTAATACGGTGATGTGTGAATTTCGTCGACCACTGGTCGGCGTAATTTTGCGCTTGATTTGATTTATGCTCGTCGGTTTACATATTGCGATGCGAGTTGGCGTGCGAGATAATAGTGTAGTCAGTAGCCGAAGATCGACTATTGGCTTCATGTAAATAGATTGGTCCGAGTTACCGACCGTGCAAAAGTTGGATAGTAAGACCAATTTTGGCCAACTTGGAATATTTTTCTTCATTGGAATACTTTTCATATCATGCAGATAGGCCTGCAGTTATTGACCCTTTACGGATGTACAAATCAGTATGGCTAGTAGCTGTCCAAACAGTATGTAGAGCCGATATCAGACAACGCATTGAAGATTGAGATTGCATGAAGGCTGAAAGATCGAAATTTCATCAATTCAAATATAAAAGAAGCTAAAATTTCTTTGTCTTCATTGGTTCAATTTCAATCTTCGATCTCAATCTTCAATGCGAAGTCTAATTTTGCGGCCCAATACGGAATTAATAGCTGAGATAATTAGCCATTTACTCTCTCTCTCTCTCTCTCTCTCTCTCTCTCTCTCTCTCGTAGTTCAGGGGCCAGTATCGCTAATTTACTATCAAACTAATAGCCTGCATCGTGTAAATAACAAAAGTCAACATTGTAAGGACTGCAGAGAGGCTGATCACTCAATTCGGAGGCTAGCTACTTTTTTATTGGCAAACTAGTAGCTTGCACCGTGTAAACCGGGCTTCAGTTACCTCAGGGATTCTTTCAGGAATTACTTTGGTGTGCACTTTTGCTATAGTATACGTAATGTAAACGATAGTCTAGAATTATCTGGGCGTAATTCTCCTGAATATACATACTACATTCTATTTAGATATATCACTACTGGCCACACTGATTTGTGCATTCACAAAGGGTCAATAGTTGGCCCATTTATGTAGTGAGGGAATCAAGAAATGCAAAAACTGAATACTATAAGAACAAAAACATTTGAAATAACTGGCAAAGCCAATCACTGTCCAATTTGCGTGTATACAAAGCCAGTAACCGACCCTCAGCTACTTATATCAATTCGTATGCCAACTCGCACCGTGTAAAATAGATAGACAGGGATAACCAATCGGGTTAATCAGCCGATTAACCAGTCAGCGACTATGTCAACGCACTATGTCACGCACACGTCAACGATGATCCGGCAAACTCATCGATCGATCTTTCTAACGACAGGTTGTATTTGTCGAGAGCTTTTCGGCCGGTCGATCGGTTCCGATCAGTTCAAAGGGATTTTCCGCTTTGCGGAATTTGCTCATTAAATTAGATTTCTTCGCCGATGATTGTACGAAAGTGGCCGAGTCACGAATAAGCAAGCATTGAAATTACTATAATTTTTATTAGTCAATATGACATAGATTCTACAAACTCTAAGACTTGTCAATTTTTAAGGGGATCCTAAAGTCGTCTCTGTATTACCGACTAAACCATACAATTTTTGTATATAACAATTACTTTTTTCCTCTCTTACTGATCATTTGATGAAAGTTCTTTTCCAGGATTAAACCATTAATATCTACGTGTCTGTGAGGTGAAGCCCCTATGCTGAAAACGACCAAAAAAATTTCGAAATTGAGATCAGTACCATTTCTCTTAAGGGCATTCTACAATGCGTTGTAAACACCCGTTGCCAGTTGAAACGTTTGTCCCGACAAACAATCAATTAGAATCGTTAATTATGCTTCGTTATTTATGCTTCTGATTGGTTGTGACAAACATTTCAACTGGCGACGGTTGTTGGCAACGCATTATAGAATGCCCTATAGTTCAATATGACGCTCCAGAGCTGTCACGTCGTGACATTTGTTTCATATAAAAGTTGTGCAATCTGTGCATACTTACGAAATAATTGTCCACAGACTAGTAGTTTGCATGAAGAAACAGTGTCGAGCTAGGTCTTAAAATTGGACTTAGACGTCTTGCCAGCTAAACGGAACGTCCATAGAACGTTCTGTTGTAGTTAAAGGATTTTGGAATGAGCTACATTATGTCCTACATACATTTACTGGACGTCCAAATTCAAAGTCCTAAAGATGTTCTCTCCTTAGGACAATTCTATTACCTTATATACCTACAGCATATATAGGCTTCCAAGAAATGTCCCAAAGACATCCTAAGAACGATCGCAGTCAAGAGGATATCTCTCAGATAAAGTGTGTTGAATTTGAAGATTGAAATATTAAAAAATTATTATATTATTATATATTCATCAACTTCATTGGTACAAAAAAAATACAATTATATCTCGGACTAACAATAAGTATATACAAAAATTCAGTACAAATAATAATTATGACGTATCTGAGTTTATATAAACTTGGACATATATATATATGGAGATCGCAACTAAATTTTAAATGCAAGAAACGACACCATTTAGTGGCAGATCTAGAATATTAGAAAAATCCAAAAATAGATCCCAAGGATTACAAACAGGTATTTTAGGACTTCGGATTTGGATGTCCTGTAGTCGATATAATGTATACGTAGGACATAATGAGGTGCTCATTTGATAGTCCACAACAGGACGTTCTCAGGAGATGTTTAGGACATGTTACGGAGGTGTTTAGGACATTTTTAGGCGCTTATTTATTAGGGCTAAGGATATTCAAAAATTTGCATCTTAGTACAATGTCCTAAATATATCTCATATATGTCCCAGGATATTCAGGACGTACTCAGGATCATCCTGAGAATATCTTGTACTATTAGGGGAAATCAATTGAAGAATGTTTGAATTTCTTTTCTGTTTTTCTTCTGTTGTACTCGATAAACCTATCGTTATCCTGTGCGTTTCCCTAGATTTTCGTTGATCATCTTTGTGTAAGAAATTATATACTGTAGAAAGAATAATACAGATAAATCGAGCGAAAATACGATTATTATTTAAATTTTTCATCTATTATATGTTGGATTGGTTTATTTGACAATCGCATCTTTTATGCTCAGCCTTTTGCATGACGATTCGTTGGATAGTGTTGTAGTCGACTTTTAAACAATCGTCAAGAGAATACTTATTCTTTTTAGGCTCGTTTCCACAATATGCGATTACCTTATAAAGATTAAAGGTTACCAAGAGATTCATCAATGAAATTCATTAATGCATTTCTTGATAACCTTTAATCTTTAGGTAATCATAGATTGTGAAAATAGGGCTTAGAAAATACGATATTAGAAATAATATGTAATCAACCTCGTCCTTCGCTTGAAACGTTTTAACGCTACTAGCTATATGTATAATAATAACAACTCACAAATATAACATAATTTAGTAGTGACATTAATTTTCATTATTTTACAATAAATACGAATTTTCTCTCGTTTTTTTGTTGCCAATATTTAATGCAATCAGCGTTAAAAAATTAGAAAATATCGTGAGAATGAATCTCCTGTTTCAATTAGTTTATAGAATATATAAGGATGATATTTATCGTCTTTTTAACGCTATAAATATATACAGTATAACTATATGTATACAAAATTTTGAATACTATAGTAAGTATATAAAGTACGATTATTATAGTATTAGATATTAATTAATTGCAAAGCAAAAAAATAAATACCTAGATATCACATATAACGTGCGTTAGAAATTTTATTCTATAGCTAAACTTGGTGACGAATAAATGCCTTTGTTATTTAATAAGAGCGCCGTTTGCCGTTTCTTGAGCTTTATCAAGCGAGAAATTGTGGCGAGAAGCGTAACACAATATATACCTGTTGGTGTTATTACATAATACTTGTAACATAACGGCAAGAATAAGAGCGTAGTAACTAAGGCGGCGATTACAACACGTGCTTCCTAGCTTCTACACGCTATCGAGATCGGAACAAGATTGTGCTATTGTTAAATGTTTTGCATAAAATCGTCTGATTTTGCAAAAGTATCTGATTATGATTTTCCACATTTTTTCAGTATCGTGATCTGAGCGCTCAAAAATGGCGTCAGGTTTGCCGAATGTTCATCAAAAGAAGCTTGGACCAGCGCCGATAGCATCCTTTGAGGACTTATCCGAAGAAGTGGAAAACGTGAGTCCTACCCTGAGTTTCCTTTACTAAATCATCCAGTCCGAGATCGTCTCTCTCTCTCTCTCTCTCTCTCTCTCTCTCTCTCTCCCCCTCTTCCTCTCTCT